GCCCGTCCTCACCCCTTCTGGCGCCTCCCTGGCGCTCGCCCGTCCTCACCCCTTCTGGCGCCTCCCTGGCGCTTGCCCGTCCTCACCCCTTCTCACGCCTCCCTGGCCCTCGCCCGTCCTCACCCCTTCTCGCGCCCTGCAGCCCTCCCCCGTCCTCACCCTGGCCATCACCTGGCTATTGTGAGCGTTCTGCAGTGGGCCCTGGGGCGGGGCCCCCCTTTAGTTCCTGTGACCCTCAGGTGGCCACGTGGGGGTGGACCGCCGGGTCCTGTGCTGTGTACTGTTTCCCCAAGAAGTCAGCCCAGGCCAGCGAGGAGGACGAAGACAGGGCCGGGAGCTCAGCGCCGGAGGGCCCAAGGGGAACCGAGCAGGCTGGAGCCCAGACTGGCAGCCGGCCGCAGCTGGGCCCCAGGACAGCGACGGCGGGGAGGGCAGGGCGCTCGGCAGTGGGCGCAGCTACACACCCTGGAGGAGGGGCTGACACGCACCCCCAAATCACACACAGCATTGCCAACTGATGCTAGAAATCGCAGCAGCTGGCCCAAACTGGAGGCGTGTGCACCCCGCTGCTGGGGTCGCGGTTGAGGACACGTGCCGGAGCCTGCCCACTCCCGCAGGCCACCGCAGCGTGCTCGGCCGTGGGCGGAGTCCCCGGCGGGCACGCGAGCCTGCTCTTGCCGCCCGGCTCAGGCTGCAGGCCGAGGGAGGCGAGTTCTGTTTCACGGACCAAACTCCCTTCCGGCGGGTGTCCCCCGGAGGCGGGCGGCTCTGGGTCCCGGCCTGCACCCCGGACTCGAACCGGGCCTGCACTCAGCCGGGGGCAGGAGCCGGCGCGTTGGTCGTGTGGCTGGTGTGCTGCCCCCGCTCAGCCGGGAATTCACAGATCCCCCGCCGTCCGCTCAGCCGGACCCGGAGAAATGCTTGCAGGGAAAGGCAGGCGTCCCCCACCCCGCTCCCGCGCCCCCACGCCAGCCGCGGCGCAGTAGTATCTGCTGGTCACCCCTGGACTTGCGGGGCTGCTGCTTCTGCCACCCCGGCCTTGCCCCGCCACACCACAGGCAGTTCTGGGAAGATCCCCAGCGAGCGCCTGGGGACGAGCGTGGAGCCCTGCTCCTGCGGCCGCTGGGGCCAGCGCGGGCACCCAGGCCCTCCGGCGGTCACGGCCAAACGGCCGTCCGGCCGGCTTTGCACCGACGCCCTTTGCAGGTGGAGCAGCAGGGCCTGGACTGTCCAGGATGGCTGCTGGCGGGCACTGAGCACCACCCCCAAGTCTAGTCTCCAGAATCCGTCTGGCGGGTCCTGTCCTCTGAGCCCTGCAGTGCCTGCAAGGTGCCTGGACACCCCCGCCCAGGCCCCCTACTCCCCAGGGCTGGTCTCAACGCCAGCGCTGACCACAGCGAGACCCCGTTTGATGTTAAAGTCTTCTCCACGCATTCCTCAAGGAGAGAAAAAGGAACAGCCCAGCCCAATGGCACCCACGGGCGGGGGTGGGTCCGAGCTCTCCCCGCGTGCCGCCCACTCACCTGCCCGCAAGGTGGCGCGGGGCTTCTGCCTCCCAGGGCGCGACTCGGGGAGCTTTTCAAGAGCAAGATCGGCCTTTCCCTGCCTCGACTGCTCGACGCTAACGACGCGGCGGTTAAGTGAATCCACTCTCCTGCCTTTCCCTCGCACGAACCCCCAGTGAGATGAGCTTTACCGCCACGACCAGCGCTGCTGACAATGCGCTGGTGCCTGGCTAACGGGTGGCCAGTCTGCATCCCGGGCACCCAGCTCTGTTTCTAAAATCCGACCTAATAGGCCGGTGGCAGAGTCCGCTCTCTACTACGTGTTTTCATTAGCAGCAAAATGTTGCCCTTCGGACGGGGGAGTGACACCGGGCATGGCCGCCTGCCCGCCGGCAGCCCCGGCCCGCTCACCAGGCCCGTCAGCCCTCGTCCGCAGGCCGGGCTTGGAGAGCTGACCGGCGGGGAGGGCGCAGCTCGCGGCCAGCGGCACAGGCGGGCACGGACTCCGTCCCGGCGCCAGCAGGGCGCGTGGTTCCTCCACAGAGCAGGCTCCCTCCCGTTTCGCTCGCTCGCGGACTCAGCGTCAGCGCTGTCAGCGTCAGCGCCGTCTCTCACGTTCCAAGCGCTCCAGAGCCGCCCTGGGGTTGCGCGTTCCTGCCCGGAGCTCGCTAAGCCCGGCCCCTGTGAATTCCGCCGCGTCCGCGCAGCGCGGCCCTCGTGGCCGGGCGGGGAACAACGGCCAGGCCCAGCTGGTGGGTGTCACAGAGCTGCCGCCCGGGGAAGGTGGGTTGTCGCTGGTGGAATAGGGCGGGGCTGCCCCCACCCCCCTCGGCCGGACGCCCCCACGCGCCCTCGGCCGACGGCCCCCACCCCCTCGGCCGGGGCTCTCGTCCCCGCCTGGCCCGCAAGCTCAGCTCCTGCAGTTTTCCCTCCGTCGAGTGGTCGCTGCTGTGCGCTACGTTTTTTCCTAATTCTGTCAGTGAATTGAAGTGCGGCCAGGTTATTTTTTATAAATTTTTCTTGATTTGCAATGCCTTTAAACTAAAATTAGCCTCATTTTTCCTTTTTTTTTCGAGAGCAACTTTCTGGATGAGTCACATCTAAAAAGAGTAATTTTTTAATTTAATAAAAATGCTTTTTACCCATTTATTGAATTATGACAGTATTCAATCCTTCCTAAACCTGGTTTTTATAGATTTTTTCCTATCCTGAAAAGACAGCAGGCTCTATTAGATGTTTAGAAGCTCAAAAGCCAGAGAGTCGCCCTCGTGCGTTTCATCAGAGTGGGGCAGGTGAGGGGCACCCCGGCACGCCGGGCATCCTTCTGGGTACAGGCTGAGTCAGACTTGGGGACACAGTGACCCAAGCGTGGGCCGGCAGTATGGACCGGGGCCTCTTGCGCGTGACCTGGCGGAGGCCGGTCTGCGTGGGAGGCCCCGAGCCCAGCGCCGCGGTCCCCTGGGGCAGGGCCCGGCCAGCCTGGGTTCCGAGCCGCGCGGCCCGAGCTGAGCTGCAGCCAGAGCTGAGGCTTCCCCAGGGGCGCGGGCGTGGCTCCCACGCGGGCTCCCTGGCGTGTCGCACAGCACAGGCGCGTGGCCTGGGCCTCTCCCGGGCGCCAACTCCTGCTCACCATCGGCGTCCCTAAGCTCCACGTCGCTGTCCGGGCGCCGACAAGCGTGCTCTCAGCAGCCCACCCGCTCCGGCCCACGCCGGGACGGGCGCAGGGGGCCCTGTCCCCGGGGG